GTAAAAATATATTTTATAATCAATAATATATTTTTATAGATGTATATTTCTATATATTTGTGTGTTATGTATGACGTCAAATCTGAAAGTCACAAAAAGTTTAGTAAATGTCAAAATCATTTGCGTGTCGCTTTTTCTGAGAATCGTGCAATAAAAATGCATCAAGATTTTACGCGCAGAAAACGTGAAACGCTTAGAGAAACGAGATTGTACTAAATAATGTTAAGTTCACATGATGCGCAAAAACATGCTTTGAGCCTACATCTGTATACACGGTAGAATAAATATCATCACGATGCAGACTCGTTTCGCTGATGACGCGCACTGATTCTACATTCCATTCTGTTGAACCTGATTCTTTTAATCGCAATCAACCTTGGCTAAGAAAATTCGATTTCTAGAAGAAAGAAAAAAAAAGACGAGAAACACGAGCGTCGCAATCTCGTCAAGTTAAATCATCGATCGATTGGTAGAAGCTTCCTTGAAAAATAAGTGATATTAATCGTCACAACGACGCGATTACGTCACGCACAAGTAACTTATCATGCAAATTTCACATTGAAATTTAATGGTCGCAACGTATTATCCCAAGACTGTCTTGTTGATAATGACTTATGATCCATTTATAGGCTTGAAGATCCTTCAAGTTATATATTTCTCTTTTTAATTTTATTTGGTTTTACCTCATTTTAACCCTTTTTATTCCTTTTTTATTTATTTCATCTTGTTACTCTTCTTTATATTGAAGAACTTTATCATACTTGTTTTGTATAATACATTTTAATCTTTAAAAGATGAGAGATATCATGAAAGATTATTACATAATTCTTTAGCGTATATTTTAGATTATTATAGATTTAGATCATTCTCAGCGTATTTCCGTACCGTTACGATCATTTAGATACGGCTAAAGGCATGACTTTTTAATCACCCGGTATATATCGATCATCAGCTGAAAAAGCAGAGGACGACGGACAGGATAGCAAGTTTTTTTGCACGGATTTCGATTTGATATTCCGATCTGCTCGGCGTATCGAGATATCGTCATCTCTCGTCTATTTGCAGTTTCTTGCTGCTTTAAGCAGTAGTATTGCTCGTATATTTTGCGTTCAGTGGCACACCCCGTGATTTATGAAGGTTGTTTTATTTTACGGACTGCCGTACAACGATGTTGTCTCTTTGCCGCATTATGTAAGGTTGAGTCGCATTTCTCGCGAGATACGCCGCAATTATCTTGCTCAAACGATGCGAAATCGCGCGTTAATGATATACTCCGCACGTCTACTCCGCTCTATTTGCCACTGATAATAAAGCTATGATAAAATATCACGATACTCGAGATGACTAACACAAAGGAAATAACTATTCCATAATAATATGGCAGCCACAACGCGATTGTGGCGATGTATAATAAATACATTATTATAATTACAAATTATAAATAAAATTATCATTAATATTCTACTGGTAGTAAAATTTGTTTAAACATCTTAAACATTTTATACATATAATTAAATTAAATTTAAACATAACGGCGCACAATATTATAAGTAAAATTTTATAACGTAAATGTTTTTAGCTTGTAATGAAGTAATATTTCTTTCTTAGTTATTTAATGATTTATAAAATTATACAGAATTAATCAAAGTAAAGAGCTCTTTGCCCCGAGTCGGAGAAGTGTCAACGACCCTGTTCACGTGGACTTATCTGATGCAGATGTCCTGGCGTACTTGGGCAATTAACGCGTGTGTACGCTCCGTGTCATGTGCTCCGAAAGTAAATCGCGGAGTTTTTCGGTGCGCGCGTGTCGAGAGCGGGAGATGATTATGTTTCAATGCAGGAGTCTGTAATCATTTCGTTGGAACACGCGCAGGAGCGTGTCAGGTGGGTCGTCGTCCTTTTCGCGAGTTTGTAATTATTGTAACATGGGCTGTCGCATCTCGCATTGCAAATGCTTTTTAGTATAACGTGTCTCTCGTCCATACGCGAAAAAGAGTTTTAAATAGTTATTAATAAATATTTTAATGACAGAAGGGGAATTAATAATGACGCGAAAAAGAGTTTTAAATATTGATTAATAAACATTTTAATGACAGAAGAAATTAACAATGACAAGAAGGTGGGGAGGAAGGTGTCACAATCGATATCTCCGAGGATATTAATATTTATGAGGCTCTGCTCTCCCTCTTCCCGTTTGCAAACACTAAGAAGAGAGATACGTGATGTTACTCGCGAGAAGCAAGTGCACCTGCGTCACGCGTATGCGTGCGGTATGCGTATGCATTCGTACGCGCGTGTGCACGCGGAGACAAAGCCGCGGACGTTATTTTACGAGTGGGTTCACCGAGGAGAGAGGGACAAAGCGAAGGGGAGGAAACTTCCTTCAAACAGTGTATGCGTGACGTGCGTGTCCGACTTTTATTTGCCTTTAACGACCGCCATCTTGCACACTCGCCTGTATTTTTTTGCCGTTCTTTTCTCCATCTCTTATTTTTTTCCACCCCTTTATTTTTCTCGTATTTTTTCAAACATAAAATTCTAAATCCGTTATTATGAATTTGTTTGCAAGTTTTGTAGAAAATTTTCACCAGATCTCTTTTCCGGAATCGAGATTACGAAATTCCTGGAAACGGCGTTCTCGCTCATTTGCTAAGATCTCGTCTGAGATCATCCAGCTCGATTTACATTCCGGAAGCTATGTTCTCAAGAGATTAGACTTCAGACTTGCAATAAAGTCGAGCGTGAAATCGTAAAGGCAAAACGAGCCGCGTTGAGATGGAGAGTGAAAAACAGGAAGAGGAAAAAGGGGAGAGATGGTAGGGAAAGGGAAAATTTAATAACCGCTAATTATCAGATGGCGAAAGATCCAGCGATGACTGGACTATTTTATTTGCGATTTTTCACGCGAGTCCGGAATAGATCTCTTGCACCATAAATACATAAATGCGGCCTTTCAATTCAGCACGCGTAGATACATTTATTAGAGTTCTATAGAACTCCTAATCTCTCGATGCAAGATCTGCGATTTAATTTAAAAACATGTGATAGTTGCAGTGCTGTACCGTAAAAAATATATGACTTCGCAGATGATATTTCTGTTTCGCTCTCTTTCCACGCGTTCTGGTTTCGCGTGGCACGGTCGACCTCATAATAGCGATCACGGAGTTCTCTTTTGCCGCTGGCTTTCGAGCCGTATCGACTTCAACAACCATTTTTCGACAGAGAAAAGCTATACATCATTTGCAGGACGTTCTGCATCCGCCCGAGATTATCTTTTTGCCACAATGTTATTTGAACCGCACGTTTTAGAAACGAAAGTAAATAACGTAATTGACCACTTTTCCACTATACATTTCCATATCGGAAGAAAAAAACGAAAAGAAAGAGAGGAAGAGGAAGAAGCCGGAAAGTCTTTTAACTGTAAAAAATGCATTTACCACGACGATAGAGGTGATAAATTAGAAATTTCTTCTTGTAAAATGCTATTGGTTCCGCATATATACACGAAAATTTCACTTTTCTATGGAAAATGTTTGATTAATATAAATCATTATAAATATTGATAAAATAGAGATTATGAAATAAAACAAAAACTTCTAGATCCTAAAACCTAAATTAAATATTGACTTTGAATATAAATTACATAGATAACTTATTAATCATACGAATATATATTTATATTTCAAAACAATTTATATACTAATTATTTTCAAAATGCGTAAATTATTAATCTTAAGAAGAAAATAATTAGGAGAAACGACCAATTTCGATTTGGAAAATCGGCTTTTTATCGCACTTTAGTCTCGTAAAAATATTTATTAGCAATTTCGCGCATTGCCACATTCATCATCCTGTTGCTCGTCCGACCGTCTGTAAATCGCTTGTAATGCCTGTCGTTACACATTACGCTATGCGCCTACGAGCCGCGTTAACGACCGAAAAAACGAGTGACGGCCTCATGCTAATCAACGAGAAGATGAACTTTGATTACGGTGACGAGCGAAGCGATGCTTCCCTCGCAAATTGCATGTGGCATGTTAATAAATAAATTCAAACGAATATTAATGTTGTTTTTATTCTAAACGCTGCAGCCGCGAAATGACATTGGAAGAAATATTTGTCTGTTCGAATTTCGTATTCTATATCGATAAAATAACGTAGTTTCTTTAATTTTTTGGTCTTTTATTTATATATAAAAATTAAAAATAGAAAGAATTTTCTACACACATTAATAATAAATTAATATATGTAATTATGTTAGCAATATTACATGTGTATATAAAAATAAAACATGAAATTTCTTACTTACGTATTTTTAATACAAATAACAATATTGATTTTCTATAATAATCTACCATTTTTTTATAACATTTATTACTGCAATTCTATATTATATATTTTAAAAAACGGAATATATATATATACCTATATATATATATATGATAAGATTAAAATGATTAAATATAATGACGAAGAATTACAATAAAATAAATAAATATTTTTTACCTGTTTTTGTTTTCATAATTTTGTATAAAAAGAAAAATAGTGAAAAGAAATATAAACGTGAACGTATCAGAAGAGAACTTACCGGTTGCATCGATCCCCATATCGATACTCAGACGAACGATTCCGAAGCAAATAATGAATTATTCATACAGAGATCCGTTGCCTGAAATCATGAGTAAAGGTCGCCGATCCACGGTAGAAGAAGACTCTGTTTTTCCCTAACAGTGTTATGATCGAACAAACTTTATCGGAATATGCTTCAAGATATTGCAAGATTTCGAAAACTTCGTCGAAAATAAATTTTTCATTTCAAAAAAGGAACATATGCACATGGCAAATCCAAACATTTTTCACGAAAATTAACAAGAAATATGAATTCAATTAAATTTAAGATTAATGTCATCAGGCATGATTTAAAAATAATGGAGATAGATACCGGTGTTTGTAAATTAGAGATATTAAACGAGAGCGCTGCATAATTTTTTGAAAATTAAAAAATAAGACGTTATATATTCTCTTTATAAAAATTACAAATAAAATAAGAAGAATGGATATTTCTTTTCAAATATTAGAAAAAATGGAAAATCCTTGATATTAAAAGAACATCAATTACGATACTTCTGGCAATTATCTTTTTTATTTTCTTCAATGTGTGCGTCCTTGAAAATATTTATCATGTGAATCTTTACACATCATTCTACACGTCAAAAGGACGAAATTGATAACTATTCCTTGAAGATGGACGTGAATGTGTGTTCACGCCGCGTTCACGACGGCTACGCGACCATAAGATCTCGCGGCAGGCCACGTGCCGTTTATCGTTCCGACTCCGAAGAGTTGCTGAAGGAGACAGATGGCCCATATGCTTTGCCGCGCCTGTCCAACTTCCGGGTCGTTTCAGAAGACGCGCGGCAGGTGCCTAGATGGGCTGATCTTGGCCGGGACCAGCCGCTGATCGAGAATTACGGCACTTTGCGTGTCGTCAGATCGCGTGATCTCGAGGAGCCGCAGAAGGTGACGCTAAAAACGTTCTCCAAGCGGGATAAACTCGGCATCACTTCGAGAAATGACGCTAAGCAAAGTAATCTTGAGAATTTGAAGGAGAATAACGAGAAGATGCGAATAGATAAGAATTGCGAAATGCAGAAGAGAGAAGATGATCATCAAACTGATCTTTGCAATCATTATGAATGGAAGTGTGAAGGCTGGGCTCGTTATGGTTGCGATCAGCAAGTTTACGATGTAGTACCAATGGAGGATGATTCGAAAATTCCAAAGCCCATTTACGCCGATAAAACCTCTTTGAACAATGATTTTGCCAATATCGATAACAACCAACGCGATGTGTTTAAGAAATCCAAGGAGGATGTCGAGAATCTCAACAATTATTCTACGAAAGATTCGAAAAACAATTATATTTTCAAAAATCACGATGATTCTCATATTGAAATGAAAAGTGATAAGCTAACGAGCATTGAAGATGGGGAAAATGTGAAAAATGACATTATTAAAAGTTCGAAAACTTCTATTTTCAAGAACGACTTGGAGAATGCAAAACGAGGATTTTCCGAAAGGAAGAACCGACAACCTATTTACGCGGTTCCTCAAGTATTTTCCAAGCCTAGACGAGAACGTCGATTGGTCATAGTCGATGGAAACTACGTTCCTAGCGGCGATCTCTACCGCACCACGGCTAAATACATCGAGGACATCAACCGGAACCTCGCGGAGATCGACAAGAGCTACGAGGAAATGAAGGCGAGTCCTAGAATCTACGGAGTAATCAACAGAATCGCTAAGGGCGAGTTACTATCGCAAGATCAATCCGGCAACCTCTTCGGCTACGTCAGAAAGAGAAACATGGTACCTATGCCGCCTATCAGTGCCGATATAGACGAGGTTATTGAAGAAAAGAACGAAAAGGATTCTAAAAAGGATATTAGATATCTTCGTAGACCCAATTCCAAGGGCAGACTTCCGCCAAAAATTCTGCCGAGATCTTCATCCATCGAGAACACGTCTAGGCATTCGACAGGATCCACCACTGCTTCCTCGAGCAAATCTACTGAATCCTTATATGCGATCAGCGAGTCTTTGACGGAGCTGCCAAAGATAAGCGATCTTCAGAAACAAGATTCAACCTGGAGTAGAACTTGCCAAGAATCGCGAAGAAGCGATTTGCAGAATCAATCAAAGTTTAATATCGATAGGGATATCTCCAAGAAAATTAAGCCTGAAGGTTCGAAGTCCAAGGACTCGTCGTCCTCGACGGACGACGAAGTTTCGATTTCCAAGAATCGATTGCCGGTCACCAGCGCGATTCGCAGGAATCGCTCCCGAGTCGACCAGGCGGAAAAACCATTATTAAAAAAGGAACGAGCTTCTAACGAGATCTTGGGGAGGACTTCAGGCAAATTGGAGCAAGTGCGATCTTTGGAGAATCGCTTGAAGGACCGTCGATATGACACGCTGCCCTCACGAAAATCCAGGATCTCTTCGAGACCGCTTCACAAATCCAGCGAGGATGTGCTTGACGGCGAAAGAATCTCTCGTAAAGATTCTAGCTTACAAAGATCTTGCTCAAGCAATAATGACATCAGGCGAAAACAAAACGCTGATCAGGATCTTGCGGAAATTCGACGAAATCTTTTTTATATGATTGATGCTACTGAAGTAATCCTTAAAGGACAATTGGAACGCTCCAATCATTTACAACAACAGGATTGCTTTCCCAAGACTAGACACAACTCTTTAGAGTCTAAGGAGACGGACAGCAAGATCCAATCTGCTGGCAATTTCGCTACTTTGCCGAGAAGAGGTAATCTCGTTAAGGATCAGTCCGAGCCTCTTAGAAGATTCTCCGGGAACGGACCGATTCTGGAACCATTATATGAACATGCAGTTAGTGATTCTGTAAAACCACGAGATACTCAAAACGTAATACCATGGTGGGAACTGGCCACCAGGAAGTATAGACATCGCAGTTGTCCATCCTTACAGGTAAATTATATTAGAATCAATGAATGTTGAACGCTCTAATTAGTAATAGGCACATTGAAATTGCAATTAAGATGTTTCGAGACTTTGTATCAGTAAAACTTAATTTGAAAGAATTATAACGATAATTATATTAAGAAAGTATAAAGAGAAATTAATATTGTATATACAAGTATAGAGAGAAAGATTATAATTATAATATATAAAAAAATATACCGAGAACAAATTATATACTTATTAATTGATTATTACGTTACGTTATTATAATTTTAATTAAAAATAAGGAAAATATTTTACATTATAAAAACGACTTTTATATTAATTATACAGAAAGATTTATTATATTAAAGATACAGAAGAAAACGTGAAATTGAAAAAATTTAGATATTGATTTCTAAGAAATCTTTAAGAGATTTTTTAGTGAAAAAATTATTATATAATAAAGTACTCGTGAAGAGAGCACGTGCGTTTCGTATAAATTTTCAATAAAATAAATCGGATGATACATACAGCGTGTAAACTTGCGTGATCGTATTTTGCGTCGCCACGAACATCAGTGAAGCGTGACCGTGTTACGAGGAATTAATTTAACGGAACAAGACTCTTGATATTTATTGATGATAATAAATGAGCGGCTTTATGAAGTCGTTCCTTTGACGATAATTATGCGACGAGAACATTCTCGCCAATGTTTATTGTAATTAGTCTCAATATCATCAAATTCTATTTTACGATATCAAAGACTGATCGTCGATAAAATTATATATGCTAATTGTATCTATATCTTGAATATATTGCAGAGTAAATATTACTGGATGTTTTTATAAACATGCAACTAACTTATTTAGTCTCTTCAAGTTTACCGATAATTTATATTGCAATAAAAGTGTAATTTATATTATTAAGCATTAATTTTATACATACATATATGTATATATATATATTTATGATGACAAGATACTTCAGTGCCCTGGACAAATATGTCAATTTGAAGATGCAGTGAGTCCTAAGATTATAGCAATATATGCAGATGTGATTTATTACGGTTTCCTTTCGGCAGACTCTCTCGGGTAGTTAGAGCAATCAAATAATAAATTCGATAATGAGATCTCGCTGTTGAAATTTAAACCCGGCGTATTCCATCGATGCATTTAGAAAGATGACAGCAACGCGTAATAAAGTGTAGGTCGACAATATCATACGTGGTCTCGATTGAATAATTATACATACTTCGGCGCTCTTTGTGCTTTACCCAACGATGACAACTCTCATCAATTGTAATCGCAGTTATAACTAACTTGCGTCTTAAGGATATCTGTCGTGCATTTTCGCAATTTATTTTTCAAAACGGATTTTTCCTTTCTAATTATTTTTTGCTTTCAAAATTATTGCAGAAAATTTAGAAATATTCGTAAATATTCTACATTTTTTCCATATATTTTTTTAAATGTCTCGTCACTTATCGAGAAGAAAGATAAGCGAGAAAAGGGACTTGCTTCCAATTGTTCTTCGCAAAGGAATCCCTCGAAGGCAGTTACATAATAGAGTGGCTTCAGAGATTGACCAATGGCGAATGTTATTCTCTATTCTGTATTTCGTCTTCTTGTGCAATTCATTCCTTTGCAGCCTCGAAACTCTGCAATCGCAGTTGATTAAAACATCACTTTTAGTCGCTTCGTACGACACGCCCCTGTTTACTTTCTCCAGCCGCGTACCGAGACAGTTGCCTAGACTATGCAGTTATAATTCAACATTAAGTTTCATATAATTCTCTTCCATATATGAAATTTTGTATAATTTTATTTCTTAAATTGCATTAAAATTTTATTGTTAATTTATTTTAATATTTTTAAATATAAAATTATATATAAATATTGTGTATGTGTGTGTTTCAATGTGCACATTTATAATTAATAAACAGCTAATTATCCACGTGGATACTATTGAAACTTGAATTTCAAATTCATGAGCAATATGAAAACATTAATTAATTAGTCGATTAATGTTTTCTCATTGCATAGCTCTCTAATAATTATCTCTGTATTTCCATGGTATTAAATAATTCAATTAACGTTCGACAAACTAGTCGATATATTCCAAAAATGTTCGATTAAATTGACTTGACATATCGCTCGCGCATCCTTTTCTTTGCCAGATGGTCTTAATTATTATCATGAGATGCGCAGACCCGGGATGCTGTTAGAGGACTCTTTATCGTGCCACGTTCATCACTCGTGATAAGTCAATACGCTCTGAATGATTCCGGGTCGATTTGGGTCATCAGTTCTTATTATAGCGTCTGACTTAGACATGAGCATGTTAACCCTTCTGGTACCGAATTAACCCTTTAATACACCATTTGTTTTTGTTATTTGTCTTTGCTATTTTTCATATTCATGTTTAAGTGATTTAAAATGACGGATATATAATTCTAAATTTAAATAATTCTGAGCTTTTCTACTTGATCTGAATAATTAGAATCTTAAGATTGTTGTAATCGGAGAGAGCGTTACGTCACCAGCTCTCGAAACCTAAATACGTTATCAATTTTGCTGTTACGACAGCAGTTGCTCTGAAAGGCGCGACCTCGCATATGTAATCTTCTTTAAACTACTAAGAAATAAACAGCGCACGCTAATGTTAGTCGATATCGCATCGGGTTGACCATCACGTATTGATCATCGAGTTTCGTTTTAAATTTAGAAACATTTTAAATTAAAATATAAATTAAATTAGGAAAATAAAGTTAAAATAATGTTATGCCACAAAAAATATAATGATATAATTAAAAATTAAAGATGTATAAAATATATAATAATTTTATTCTATATTATATATTTTAAAAAACGGAATATATATATACCTATATTATTTTAATATTTTTAAATATAAAATTATATATAAATATATATATAATTTTATATTTTATTCTTTTTATGTTTCATACCGAAATATTAGAATACTACATTTTTTAAATCTATTATATTTAATTTAATCTAAAATATTGTTTTGGGGATTCCAAACTTAAAATATATAAATTTTTTTAAGAATCATTTTTCAAAAAAGATAATTTCTTTAGAAAAAGAGCGTTTCTATCGAGAAACCCGAATCTAAAAGCAGGTAGTCCTGACGAATTTTTCTGGCGTAACCTTATTCTTTTTTTCTGCCCTTCTCTCTGTTGGGTTGAACCTTTCCGAGGTTTAAACTCTATGTGGCAGGACGATGTAAAACTGTCACCGGGATTTGTGACAGGTCATCGTGTTATAAATGTCCCTGCGGGAAACTCCCTTTCGTCCCTCTTCCTCACAGGAAAAAGATTTATGTGTTTTGAGGGTGCACTTTCGACCAGACCTCGTGTGTAAACATGTCTCTCTCGTAGATACTCTCATTTTTCTAGTTTTTAAATGAGATCACATGTTTCTTTTTATGCGTTTTTTCCTCGTCATGATTGATGGTATCGGTAACAATATTTCACATTGACATAGCATAAATTCAATCCTTCCCAAATTTAACAGTTACATTGGTTGATAAATAAAATATAGCATTGTCTAAAGATTCACATTAAGCGCACATTATATTAAGAAGTAACATCTCGTACAAACGAAAATATTTGTGTAATAAAAGAGAAAACAAGAACAACAAAATGTTGCTATTATTGTTTTAAAATTAAAAAATATCGTCCGCAAGAAATATGACAAAATACTTTTGAAAATTATAGTATAAAAAAAAATAGTTGAAAAGAATATTATTTTAAGAGACCGAAAAATAAACCAAATGAAAAAATCGCTGTTAAAAAATTACGAAAGAAATTAGCCAAAGAACGAATCCTTAATTAATTATTATATTGATTAATTATTAACTATCAAATATATACATGACACGTAATTACTTTTAAGATAACAATAAAATTTTTAAAGAGAATATTTATGAGACCTGAAAAAATGTGGGATATACACAGTTCATAGAGATCTCGACTCTGAAAATGTTTTCGTGACGTTAATTATTAGATATAAAGCTCATCTTCGCCCTTCTTTTTGCACGAACAATTACACAGGAGGGCACATGGTGATGGGAACAACTGGAATAATGTACGAACACGACAAAATCCTCGAAGCGTTACGATCCGAACTAACTGGGGTAACAGTTCCCAAGCTGCAAAAAATGCGATACTTCACAATGCGATATATAGGGTACTGCAAACTACTCGTAAAAGCGAACTTTACGTTCTCACCACATCATGAAATATTTTTTGTATTTTAAATAGCGATTCAATTAATTTATTCTTACAAATAATTCAAGTAGTTAGATATTATTGGGAAATTAAATTAAGTTCTATATAAATAATCTCTCCATATAGAAGATTAATAAATAAATTCTTCGCGGAAATGTATATTGCATATCTGTGAAAGAAAACTCGCGTAAATTATTACTTTTTTTACTGCTTTGTGATTTATTCGCTGTATTTCTTCGTATATTTTTAATTAGTGATCATTTTAGCGAGGTAATTCAAGTGAATGTAAATCTTTATCCGACGTTCCATAAAATGTAATAGGCGCGTAAAATTGATTTATTGTACTTAACTACATATGTGTACAGTATGTAACTGTAAGAAGCCGCTGAGCTTCGCAGACCTTGACTTATCGTATCTATCAGTCATCTTATAGGTCTTCTAACTGCGTCTTAAAGATCACAAACGTTTTGCACAAATACTTCGTGCGTCGAATATGTCTTTTCGTTTCTAAGAGAAAAATATTTTTAAATTTGAAACACACTATACATATCATGCATGCAGACACGCGAGATATTTCGAAAGCAGCAACCTTAACCCTTTTCTTCCCAGATAATTTGCAAGGAGTCCGCGTGAGATATCAGATTGCTCTTTAATTCTCACCGTTTCAAATTGCATACTAGATTTTATGCAAATTTAAGATATGTGTTACACAAAAAGATTCAACTTGTAACATACTCCAAAAAAGGAACAACTTCAAAAAAAGGAAACTTGTTAACTCCTGTTTTTTTTTTTTTTTATAAAAATCATGAAATTTGAGTTAATTATATATTTTTATCTCAACGTAGTTTGATTTAACTATTATTATTAGTATCACATAAGATGCGACTAATTGCAATTACGTGCTTCTTAATTA